TTTGGCCAGCCTATTAATATATATTTTTTTAATATGTTAGAATGTACTTTTTATGTATTGATGTTTGGCCAATAAATTATTATTATTATTAGTATAAATTTGGATAAATATTTAATTGATTGATACTTTAAAATTATAAATTTTATTGCGATATAAAATATTTCAATATTTTTTCATTTATTTAAGTTCAATGATTAAATCACTTTTATACACAAGCTTTATATATGTATACCTTGCATAGCGCAGGTTCCGCAAATATCCCGAACTATTTGAAAACTCTAACGGCCATGAAATATGAGCACAGTGTATTGAATCAGCACGGACCAAATCCGCACTATGCAATATCTTGCTGTACTTGTATTATATAAATAAATAATCGCTATAACTAAAACTTTTCATTCTATCGCATTTTATTAGAAACTCTACTTCTACTTCAAACTAAGAATATTATTTTTTCCAAAGTAATCCACTGTCAGTTAAGCTTCATAGTTTAAGATGACGAACTTAAGATGAAGTAGTGACTTGAGTCGCCTTAGATCGGGACACAATCTCCTGTCCACCTATTCAAAGTTGGGTGGTGCCAATCGGACTGTGGATAGATGGGAAGTTTGAACCACATCAAATGTATCAAAAAATATCCAGATATTCCTAATCCACAACAATAACTCTGCTTTGTTTTGAATCACAAGTCATCAAACCACGTTATATGAAATTTTACTGTAAATTGTAAATACACATAAAGAAAATTTAATTTTAGACAACATAATATACAAGCATAAAATTACTGAAATCGTCCTTACGCCGACTCTGTCTCTTAGTTTAGATTTCTTGTTTCAATGTTGGTAGGATTGAAGTCAGTTTAGTGTTCTGTAATTTTGGATGGAGTTAATATCAAAATTAACAAATTTCATTTGTCAACAAGTGTATTGAATTCATTTTCATCACAGATACTAATTTATTTCGAACGAAAACGATGGCTCAGATGGGTGAACCTTTAACGTTATCCAGAGGTAAGTTTAAATTAGTTCATAAATATTATAAATATGTAGGACCTACCTACATTGTAGGTACACCCATTTATTGATTTCTTTTTATTCAAGACATAAAACGTTCCATTGAGCTTCTGGAGAAATTACAAAAGAATGGAGAAGTTCCTGCAACAAAATTAGCGGCATTGCAGAAAGTGCTGCAATCTGATTTTCTTAATGCTGTTCGAGAAGTATATGAACATGTATACGAGACAGTAGATATTCAGGGTTCCCAAGATGTGAGAGCTTCAGCAACTGCCAAGGCAACTGTTGCTGCATTTGCTGCTAGCGAAGGTCATGCTCATCCAAGGGTAGTTGAATTGCCTAAGACAGAGGAAGGGCTTGGCTTTAATGTGATGGGAGGGAAGGAACAGAACTCGCCAATTTATATATCTAGGATTATTCCTGGAGGTGTTGCAGATAGACATGGTGGACTTAAAAGAGGAGATCAATTATTGAGTGTCAATGGAGTTGTAAGTGTGATTGCAGCTGTTATATATTAATTATTTCTAATTTATTGTATATTTCAGTCTGTTGAAGGAGAAAATCATGAAAAAGCTGTAGAATTATTGAAGCAGGCCCATGGTTCAGTTAAACTGGTTGTCAGATATACACCAAAAGTTTTGGAAGAAATGGAATTGAGGTTTGACAAGCAACGAGCAAGAAGAAGGACCAATTTCAATTGAAGTTTAGAAAAATTTCAAGTAAAATCAATCTCATAGAGGCAGTACTTAAGCAAAAGTATGGGTTATGTGCTTAATCATTTTTTGTCATATGTTTATGTTATTGTTAAAAAAAAGTATTATTAAGTTATAATTTATATTTCATTTAATCTGAAATGAATAATAAAAGATCAATTATAATTAAGCATAATTTATTACAAACCACAAATAATAAAATGAAACAAACAAAATGTTGAAGAATCTTTCATCATCTTCATAAATATATATAAAATTAACAAAATAAAAAACAAACATGAAATACAATAGGATCGCTTTATACACATATATTATTTTGCAATGATTTCTTATATATCCACAACTCTAAATCTAAACATCAAATATCCAATTTTAATTGAGGGGGAATGAGGATTAATTACGAAGTTAGGGTACATCAAGAGAAGAACCGAATGGGACGAGCGGGGAAAAAGGGATATTAAGGAAGAACAAGTTTTTACTTTACACTTTTTTTTCTTTCATCATACACAATCCTACCGATACTTGCAATCAAGTTTCAACTATTTGTTTATTTTTTATACACACGTAAAACTATAGTCACTTGCGAAACAGACGAAACCATTGAAAGACTTTGCAATTAAAAACTAAGTACAGTATGAAAATAATAATATTTTTTTGTTATATTTCTCTGTTATTTTTTATATTTTTTTTTGTTGTTTGTTGTTGCGCAAAGGTTGCTAACCAACTATTACTTGCTCAATTTCACGAATTCTCTGAAAGCCGCTTGAATCTCTTCATCCATTTCTGGTTCAGGATCACACAATTCATCAGGATCATCAAATTCACTGAAACAAGAGCATATAATTTTATAAAAGTGATAATCAATATCAACATTGATCATATAATAAAAGAGACAGATTCCATCAAATAACCATTGATTAGATTTATATGTTTGATGAGTATTCCCTATAATGGTATACATTTATTTGCTATTTTGTAAAATGATCAAATTATTCATACTTTTTAATAATTAGTAAAATAATATAAATGTAATGTGGTCAGGTAAAATTTTAGCTACGCAAACTTTGCGAGTCGATTTTTGGTGGGTCGCAACAATATTTTCAAATGTTTACTTTAATAAACAGCAATATTTTTGTTCTAAAGATCAAAATCTGTTTCCATAATGGTTATTATAAAAACAAATCTGAATTCAAAATAAATTACAAAAACAATGATAATTATAGATCTATGTACTATATAGATTGATCATCTTTATAGAATTTAATCAAAAATAATTTATTTCATACACGAAATACAAATAAACTAAGAATAACTTTTCTTATCGGCAAATTTTTAATTTGTTTTATTTGAATAAAAACAAACCAAACAAAAATGATATAAAAAAATTTTGATAAATAATTTTTAGAATAGATTAAAGTAGTGATTCTCAAACTTTGGGTCGCGAAAAATACTTGGGTCACCAACCTTTTTGCAAACAAGAGCGCGGTCGGACGGCGGGCACCATAGATTTTTTCAAAGTAAATTTATAGTTGTACATAGTCAAAAATACACATAAAAACACGTAAAACGGTTGTCAGGCGCCATAGTGCCGGCGGGTTGGAGACCCCTGGTGTAATATATTAAAACTGTTTAAAATTTCAATATTGAAAGAACAATTACGGTTTGCAGCAGATGACTTTTAATTTTATTATTGTATTGATTTTTTTAATTTTGTAATTTTATTGTTGCAATAAATATTATTATTGAAAAAAATATTAACTATTTGTTTTTTTTTTATAAAATTTTTAACTCTTAAGAAAAACTACTTTTGTTTAAAATAAAAATATTTGTGAAACAAGTACATACTCAGTGTAATCACAACATTCTTTAGCCAAGAATTTTTGCTCATCCATGGATAATTCAACACCATCAGGTCCATAGAATGTAGGCTTCTCAACAATGGGTGGCAACCAATTCCAATTGGGACCATTGTGTGAACTAAAGGCAAATACATTGATTAGTATTAATCAAATATTTAAATGTGACTATTAAAAACCTGCTGCAAGTAGGAGGATTATTCTGGCCCCAGTTGTTCTGCCTCAGATTTATAACTGATTCAATTAAGTTTATAATGTTATTCATTACACTAAATTTTGCAGTATCCAGTTTCTGGAAAACAGCTACCATTTTGTCCTTATCATAGGCATCCAGTGTTCTTCCACTTAACTAAAAATCAAGTCAACTAGAATACTTTCAAATCTAAAATCAACTAATATTACTTTCAATGTCTGGCAGGCTGTTTTAACATTGTCATCTCCACCAGCAATGAGAAGATTATCAATTGATTTGTACAGACAATTTGGATAAACCTCATCTAAATCCATTTGCATGTAGAGTTCTGCTAAGAATAATGTAAGCCCTGGCTTTGCAGTATTTTCCATTAATTCTTTATCACAAAGCTTATGCATGTGAGCATTGAAAGAAATGCAGTTTTCCAATATAACAGAGCAGAGACGTGCCCCATTATACCTGAAACCTGGTTGCTGAATACCCTGTAAAAATATGGACTCTGCAACACTGGCTATCATTGCTTCATCATTCAAATACATGTTGAATATGTTCATGTAATCATCAACAACCTCTTCAAATTGGCCTGGATCACAAATCACTGCCTTGATGATATCATTCAATTCATCCAAATCATTCTTGCTGTCATTGTTTACTTCTACTTTGAATTGCTTAAGACGATCTTGTGCAGAGTAAGGAGCTTGTGATGGTACAGCAGCAATGTAATTTTTGGGGATAAACTCCTTGGCGTCAACAGATAAACTGACATGGGGTTTTCTTAACGTCTTCTTTGCTGCACCCTCTCCACCGTCCCAAAGCGGCGGAGCCTTGTTGTCGTCACCGTTATTTTGCATTTTTTCCAGAATTCGATGAAATCTCCACTGAGCAAATACTATTCACAGATAATTCAGACGTTGTACAACATTATTTTATGCCGCACAACAAAATAACAAATCTTGACAGATACTGAAAAACAACAGGGGTGCCCTGTTGCCGGTTGCGCTTTTGTTTTTCTATAAAGTTTAAACGTTCTTGCACCGTTGCCAAACCTGTAATATCTTCAAAAAGTATAATTATTTAAATAAGTTTTACAAAAGATCAATATATTTTTGTCATACACACATTTAAGTCTAATACAACTTCTTTTTTGAAAAGGAATATGTTCTATTATTTGTATACACATGCAACCAAATTTACACTAACGTCATGCTTATATTGATTTTAAATTTAAATTTACGTAAGCCTACGTAAGCATCATCAATGTCAATAATAGATGTTTATATTGGCATTAATGTCAATACTTCTTGATTTTGAATACTTTTAGATATTGATACATAAAATACTGATTAATTTATTATGGATTTACAATCCCTCGCACAATTAAAAATATTATAATCTTGTAATTGATATTTTGTAATATTACATATATTAAATTTACATTTGTATAAATAAATCTAAGTTCTTCTATTAGCAGGATGAATCTTCTTCAAGTTTTTCATTGCAACTTCCTCAATCCAATATTGTGTATTAATATTGAATATATAATATGTTGAACCCATCACCCAGATGTTAGGTTTGATTTGTTTGTATATATAATAATTATTTATAATTATTAAGATTTGTGTAATCTGTAAATAATATGATTATTTCTATTACATTGTTAAGTTTTTTAAAAAAATAATTAAAGTTTACGATTTTATTTTGGATCACGGTATGTTTTATCTCGGTTTTTCTGTAACCAAGATAACATAGCTAGGTCGTTTTGAAATATCAATTTGAAATATAATAAAAAAGGTTATAATTAATTAATTCCCAAATTAATATTTTTGTCATATAGCTAACAGACAGATTCCATCTACTAAAATTGTGTGACATTTAAAGCATTACTATTAACTACAATGGTTTATAATATGTTATGAAACACAAATTATCTTGCTTGGACATTTTGTCTGAAACTAATTAATAAGTGAATGATATATTTACACTTTCTAAATGTAAACGATGCTTTCTTGCAAGAGATATAGGAAACATTATTTATTAAAGATATGTACGATATATGAGGTTTATGTATAATAATTTAATATTTGCTGTTTGTATTTTCTTTCTCAAGCATGTTGCTATTTACTTATCTACTGTATTTGTATCGAAATTTTAGTATGCATTTACACACTGAACCTCTTTTTTTCTTAAATACTTTAAAACTTCTACAAAGCCGAAATAAATTGCTTTTCAACCTTTTTTGTATTGCTTTGCATTGAATGTGCATAATTTTATTAATAATATTTAATAAAATAAGGCACACCTATGAACTTCTCAAATTAAACAGACTGAAAATCACTATTCTAATGTATTCTTGTAGAATCTGTATTTTTAGGAAGGTCATCTTCCTAACTGGTAAAGTAGCCCAAGGTTTTCAGCTGTATTTGTTATTCATTCTACTACCTGTACCTCCACTAAAGAGTTTATGAATACAGTAATAACATTCATAGTGCTTCTTCAATCAGTCCGGATTCACATTCATAATCCTGTTTTTTGAAAAATTCAAAACATACGAAATTTCAACTAAGCAAAATTAAATAGATTACCCAAACTTTATATTATTTCATTGGTGGATAGACGGCCGTCAATAAACCATATCATATGCGTTTTTTATGTATGCAATAATTTGTTTTTAAATTTCATCATGTTTTTCGGTGAAATTTTCATTTTTTTTTATAAATATAATTAAGTAGTTAACAAATATTGAAAAATAAAAATACAAAGTTTAGAAAATAATAAAATAAAAGCATATTCTCTTGCTCTGAATTCAGATGATTCATAAGAGTATAAAGACTTAATACCACACATATTCATTAACTCTGAACATGAATCTGATTGATTGGCGCCTAGAGGAATATACAAAAATACATGATTTTATATTAATTAGAGTGCTACCCAAAGTAGTTATGTATAGTCATTATGGAACACATTCAACACAATTCGTATTAAACCAAGCTTCAATTAGCTTTAAATATATTATTACAATAGTTTTGTATTATATATATTAATATGCTTCATCTTGCAATATATTAAACAAAATTGTATATAAAAGAAGATGATGTATAAGTACTTCCTAATAGTAGAGAAAGCTATTATAAAAAACAAGAAAATATGGCTATGAATATAATATCTATAAATCTAACTTAAGCTTATTAAACATATATAGTTTTGCAGTATATATTTTATATTAATATTCTTTATCTTGCAATATATTAAACCAAATTGCATATAAAATCAAGAGGATGTATAAGTTCTTCCCAATACTAGAGAAAGCTATTATAGAAAAGAAGCAAATAATTATAATTATCAATATAATTAAATGTAGTACATAAAAAATATTTTTAAGAGCAAATAATTTCTTCTAAGTAATATGTTTTTTTTATGATATTGCAACATTATGCAATGCAATTTTGGGCGTGTTATGGTGTTCATGATGATGAAAATGAATATTACCCCGAATACTATATGAAGCTTTTGTGATTGCGCTAATTTGTGTGAATTTAGTTTTACTTGTTGCGCATGCGAGGGCGTCAGGTTAGACGCCGCGCCTGGCGTCGGGACGCCACCGGAACGGTCTCTTGGCCTGAGTGCACGTCCGGCGAACGCATCGATAACGATCCCTTATCAATTAATTGTAGAAAAAGTTCATTTTGAAAGGGTCATTCCAAAATTTAACGTACCATAGATCAGAAAAATCATAAGAAAAAACAAACGGAGAAAGAAAACGCGCGCAAATAGAAAGGGCCGAAATGGACAATTGACGTAATCCAGAGTGCATCGACTTCATACGATGGTATTATTACAGGGTCCTTAATTGTTGCGACCTCTTGGATTTTCGTCTGCAAATTATACAGGTACGTGGAAAGTACCATTTACAATTAGGTTTCACAGTTGACGATGTCTTATGTAAAATAACTGAATGCATAACTGCTTTCCGGAGCATCCGCTCGACAACAAAACATGAATGAACGCCAGAGTTTATTAAAGGGCCGACATATGTGTTTCCGCTGTTCCTTTTTTGTGCGGGGTTTGTCTCGTTATTTACGGAGTGTTTATGTCTATGTTGATCGATAAGCCGGTTGCAAATGTAAAACTTAATCCCCGTGAGATCTGTAATTACCATAATTGAGTTGTGTGCAGCATCACGTGTAAAAGGTTCGTTCGCGATCAACGTGATGATTTCGTAATTCGCGTTGTTTTTTTCCCATATCTCACATGCGATCAACATAGTTAATTCTCACCATACATTAATTACTTGATTAATATATATTTTATAACTTCGTGTAGAACAATACTTACAAAATATAACAGTTTTATTTTTCTAAATATACAAAATTATTTTTCTATTTCATGATATAATTCTTTAGTTATTTTTTCAAAACATATTGCTAAAAATAATATCATATATCGATGGTTCAAATAAACAATATAAAATATTTTTAGATTATCTTGATTAAATATCTTCTTCATAAAAAAAACAATAAAAGTTTCATTACCGTTAATCAATTATTAATTTATAGAACTGAGCCTATTTTGACATTAAAAAAGAGACCTTATTAATGAATAATAGATACTAAGTTAATTGAAAAAAAAAAGATGAATATTTTTCGTAAAAGACATAATAATGGTAGTTTTTTGATGATACAAAAACATTTGTTAAAATAACAATATCGTTTCTATTTCATGTCTGACAAGTTCACATTAGCTTAAACATACTATATTTCTCTGCGTTGGACTTTCGCCAACTATATAAATACTATATAAATATCAATGAGTATTTCCACATATGTCTAGAATTTCCGAACAAATAAAATATTGATGCACTTGAATAATATAAGAATATTCCATTGGATGTTCACAATGAATAAAATTCTAATAGAATTTGAATACAATTCAGATGACATAACGATATATAATCTGGCAACTAACATAAACACAGATGCCAAGTGGAGTACTAGAATATAATATTGATGTAATCATTATTTTTTTTTGTATACATGAAATATTTAAATAACCAATGAAAATGAATGACTGAACATATATTAATCATAGTTAAATCAAAATCGGTCAAGTGTAAATTGAAATTAATTGATCATTAGATTAGTAATCGATATCACAATTATATACAAGTTCAAGCTACAAATATTGTCCATTAAACTTTATATTATATAAGTACTTCATTGCTATTTAAAATATTTTAAAAATCAAATATATATTGTAGTGATACCTCGGTTAACATTACCTCTGATAAGAAATCTTTGAAATTAAAGAATTTCATGCGGAAAAAAAATTAACCAATAATTTTTTTTTAGTGAAAATAATCCTGATTTAGATAGAAATGTTATTATTAAGTGATAAATATAAAAATGTTTTAAAGGAAAAATAAAATATATGTTTACCTCTAAAACCAAACTTTCGCTTAAAGAAATAATTACTTTGAACGTATCCAATTCTTATGATTGTATTTTTAATAATTTTAAATTAAACAAAATGTATAATATGAACATTTTTGTATTAGTTTTATCGATATAGAATAACATTATGATAATATTTATATACTGACTATATTAGCACAATAATATAATTAATATAAAATAACAAAACTAGAAACATTTTGATGTGATATTATATATAAAAAAAAACTCAGCCTAGAATTAAGTATAAAGCAAATATAATATTAAAATATAGGAAATAATAAAAATAAATTTAATTAATTTGTAAACTATAATTTTGAATATGGAATTCTAAGTATAATAATAATATTGAATATATCTGTTTTTATAGCGAGAATACTGGACAACTCATAAAATTAATATACATATAGAAGTTAACGACTCTCGGATGCAAAGTCTACTAAAATCTTATAGCCAATAAACTTGTTGGAATAAAGACATTAAACTTCTTTTAGCAATAAAGTGGTATGGAATCTATCTATTCTACTTTGCAATAAGAAATATAGCAAATATTCGCATTTACATTTTTGTTATAAAACTTTAAGATCCTTATATTAGATGAAGTGGATTCGCCGGGTAGGCGAAGCTTCTCCAAGACCTCTTAATTAAGTTATTGCAAGATTTATTGCCGTGGCAAAATGCATTCGATGTAGATTTTAATTGCTTTTAGGTCAGATACGAAGGTCTAAATTCGTAACGAAACGAATGGATTGTTTGCCGAAACACACATCCGGCAGTAAAATCCAAATTTAGCTATTCGCGAATAGTTCAATCGGTAAGGCCATCGAAGGTTCGCCCTTTGGCATTTTCCCCGTCGCCCGGGGAATACATTATTATGCAAATATACGGCCGATCATTATCCGGTACCGCCAATATAAATATTTGTATCGCTTTGCCTCCTGTTACGTTTGAAAGGGAGTCAGTTGATCCCTGTTGCCTTGGGCTCGTTTTTCATGTATGAAATTTTCAGGCCTTATTAAAATTTCAATGACACACTTGCTGAAACGGCCTAATTGGACTGTCGGGAAAAACGCAAACCGATCGATGTCACCACCCATTATTAATGCAAATGCAACTCCGTTCACCATTTTCCCCATACGTACGTTATCATATGAATTACTTCAACCAAATTGAACATACAATTTTAATAATTAGAGATGAAAATTCGTAGCGGAAACAATCACAAAATAATAGAAAATAATAACATTGAATACTTGGATCTAATTTTAAACCGATCTTTATTATGATTCGAATCGGTTGAAGGCGAACCAATTCCTCGGTAATTTGAACCAACATTTTAACAAGATTTTGTAATATCTCCAACATCTTCATTAATTTAATATATTAAAATAAATCAATCACTTTCCTTATTAATATTCTATTTGTATTTCCTTATTTTTGTAAGTGGTTGTTTTTATTGTAAACTTTGTATGCTTTATTTTTTGTCTAATTGTACGGTATTTCATATGCAACTTAATTCAAGGCCTCCATGCAAAACTAAGATTATAAGATAAGCCTCAGTAATAATATATAGTTCAGCAGTAGAATTTACATCAATAATTGTATAATTTAAAATGCAAAATATAGGTTATGAATGTAGGTTATCTAAGCATTCTGCGGAAAGTTTATGGTGCGTTTTTTTAACTTATAAAATATCAGCATTTATTAACAACTTCCCTTTTTATTTCTTCAAAATTTACGTTAACTTCATATAAATTGTGTGTGAAATAATTAAATTTCACTTGAAACAATATTTACACCGTTAATTAGTTTATATCTAAATTTGAAAGTTGAATTAAACGTTCTATCATATAATCTTTGGGCAATTTACACTAGTTTTAGGCATTTAACTAGCGTGTTTTGTACCATATATAACATACATCGCGTGTACATCACTTGTGAATTCGCAAGCATTAATCTATTCGGTAGATAAACATTTGTATTTTATTAAACCATAACACTTATCATAAACTATTAAACTATAATAAAGTGATTTATGTTGGATTATTTCCAATTGAATCATTAATTGTTATTATTTATTATTAATAAGAATACATTAATTTTAGTGAATTGTCGTGGGCATTAATTTACCGGACCTCGTTTTCTTTATACATTTATTTAATTAGTATTAATCCAGGTGTAATAAAGGTCATCGTATAATCAAAAAAATATAAGAAATAACCTCAATACATACAATTGTTCTATTTATGGTGTTCTCTCTATAATTATGTTTTATTTCTATCAAGGTCTTTTATAATATTAGATTATAACAAAAGCGTTAACATAATTATAGGAAAGAGTTGCCGAATTTACAAAAAAAAAAAGATTATTTAAAGTAAAAGAAAGTGGTGGTAACAAATTCATACCTTCAAAATTATATTTATATGTATATGAGCCATTTATTTTGTAAGTGACCTAAGTCCACTTATATTTAAATTGAGATATTTTAGAGTCTGCATTTCAAACTTAAGTAGTTAAGCTACTTTCAAAATTAACAATTTAATTATAATAATAATAAAAAACTAAATAATAATACAACTCTCAAAATAAATAAATTCTAACATAAATTAAAAAAAAATATTAATACACTGGCCAAAGAGCTATCGACCGAGGTCTTTCAGCCCGGGTTAATTATTATAAAATTTGAGCTCGACATAATTTGAAATGTTTGAAATAAAAAAAACAATATTCAATTTATTTTATATTTCTTTAGAGGACTTCTAAATAACAAATAATAATAATTTGTGCAAAACATAAGACACTTTAAACGTCTGCAAATGCAGCCAAATATTACCATATGACACAAATAGCCTATATAGGTCAATTTTCGTTGGTGGTCCAACCTAAGCGACGGTTCAAATTCGAAAACTCTCCATTATAATACCAATCAATTATCAAATTAAGAACTTAAATCATATTTTATTATTGTAGTTATTTAGAATTAATAAATTGTTTTATATCAATCGCTACAAAATAATAGATAGTATTGACTTAAATACTATTACATTTTTTTTTCCTATGGCAACTTTTGCGTAAAATATTTTTATTGAAATATAATATGGCTGCAGCTGAATACATTTTAGGTATTTCACAGGCTAATGTGAAAGTGAATCTTATGAACGTGGATAATAAAATAAGAACAGTGCAAGAAAAATAGTATTTTTTAAGATTAGGATCAAATTTATATATTATTTGTACTGGTATTAAAATAATGAAACTAAGGGTAATTAGATAAATTAAAAGTAAAAAATTCCACAATTTAGCAATACAATAGTTCGAGCGAAGCAGTGCAGAGTGAAAGAATGAGAATTAGTAATGAAACTACGAAATGAGGGTCATAGCATTAGCCAAATAGCAAAAATTATTGGAAGATCTTTTACATTTGTTTATCAAGCCATATT